GGATCTCATCAGCGCGTCGCAGACAGCTCCGACAGAACACAGACCAACTAAAATGATAAAACTGATAAAACAAAACTAGATCCTAAAATGTAGCATCGTACTACAGATGGCGTTTACCGCGTCATTTGTGGTATTTTCTAAAACGCACTGCTAACACAGCAGGTAAAAGTTGGTCTGTGTACTGTCGGAGCTGTCTGCGACGCGCTGATGAGATCCAAAAAGATCGAAATCGCGTTCCATGTCTGGCAGTTTCGACAGAATACAGACCACTTCGAATTATTTTATTAGTTTTAAGAAAATGAAGCTTAGCTTAGGATAGGAAAGACTGGAGCTAAATCTTAGGACTGACAACACTGTGTTGATGATAATGAATTTTTATGTTGGATGAATGTTTTGCCTTACCTGTATAATAATACGGGGTAAAGTTACAGATTTAATTAGAGCGTCAGGATTTACGTTTCATCGAATTTACAAGCCAATGAAGACCAAAGTTTATTAATGTGTAATGCGATAGTCTATCGATGGTAAGATTAACCAACAATGGTAAAAGAAATGACTAACGATGAGAGCAAAAATTGTAAGGCATCATGCTTACATTTCACATTTTTGTGGGGTTGTTAACCCTACTGATACATTTATTTAATACCCATATAAGCTACTTACAAGAAATAAAAAACTAGAATCGGTATTAAATTACAGTTTTTATAAAATATACAGCTACCTATCGGCGTGGTTTAGCGATCTAGGCAATTGATTTTAGTGTTCATGGAGAAACATACTTAAAACCAACGCAAGTCACAGTTACGCTCATACGTAGTAATAAAATTTATGAAACAATTGTTAGCAAACGCCAATGGATTAGTGGTATGAATGTTCGACAGTCTTACGGTCAGGTCTGGGGTCTATTCTCAGCTGTCGTTAAGCCTTATCTCTTTCTTATCGTGGTTATGTCCGTAAAAGTAAATTTTATCAGAGCTGTGTTCCCATGCAGTAGCTACCTTTGGTAACTGCTGCCACGTATATTTTCTGATTTTACGGTGACATAAGATGTGGCTTGCGCTTTGGTATTAAGAATCATCATCATTAGGTCATCAGTCCTAAGACTGGTGGACACACACCTCCACTCTTTCCTATCCTGAGCTAATCTTCGTATTTCTCTAAAACTAGAACATCCCATATCCTTAACTATTTGCGAACAGTAATTTAATCTAGATCTACCTCTACCCCTCCTAACTAATATGTCTCTGACTAGACCTTCATGCCTGAGATGATGTCCTACTAACTTATCTCGGCTATTTTTTATTGACTTCCATAGAGTCCTTTGTTCTCTTACTCTTTCTAATACCTGTTCATTTCTAACCTTCTCTATCCACGGTATCCTCATCATTCGCCTGTAACACCACATTAGAACGCTTCTAACTTTTTCTTTTCCGTCGCATTCATTGTCCATGTTTCACACCCGTACAGCGCCGTGTTCTTTTCTTTCTTTTCTTTTTTGGGTGTTTCATTCCCACCAGCCAGTAATGCTGGTGGGCGGGCAGTCCCTCCGGACTATGCCGGAAGGTAGGGCGGAAGGCCCTCTTCAGCCTGCTTTCAGGAATCGTGGGAATCGGTGGGTGGTGGTTCGGGTGAGAAAGATGAGACGGACGAAATGAAGACAGAAGAGAGTGAAAGATTATCTGTGGAATATTACTGCCTCAGCATTTGCCTAAGTGATCCAAGGAAACCATAGAAAAACTTCGACCAAGGCAGACGGACCCGGAATCGACCCGGCGTCTAAACATAGACCTTTAACAACCTTTTTCCAATTTCTAAATTAATCGTTCGCGAGCATAGAAGTGACTTCATTTTATTGAAGGCGACTCGACCCTGCGCTATCCTCTACTTTATATCCCTACTACTCCTTCCGTCCTGACTTATCTGACTTCCTCGATACCTAAAATCAGCCACTTCTAATTTTTCGTCTCCTATCTTTATATTCGCTCTTTCCCTACTTTTCCTTCCCTTGCATACCAGTAATTTTTGTTTTACTTTTATTTATTTTCATACAGTACTGTTTTGTCAATATTGCTTCCATTTTATTTAAAGCTATCTCTAGGTCCTCCTTGCTAGATGCTCATATTGCTATATCATCTGCAAATCTAAGCATACTAATGTTTTGCCCCTCTGTATCTATCCCTACAGTTGTAATGTCTTTAACGATGTTGACCGCGTCTTCGATGTATATATTAAAAAGTAGCCCTGACAATATGCATCCCTCTCTGAGTCCCTTCTTAATATAAACTTCTCTACGTTGCAGCTCCATCTCTATAACTGCCTGTTGCTCTTTATACAAACTAAGTATCACTGTTCTATCTTTGTAACTGATCCCTGCATTTTTAAGTATTTATAATATTTACCCTATGAAAATTTTTTAATTTTTTTTAAATCGGCTTTGGAGACACTCACAAATAATTTTGTAGATTCATTCAAAATTTTTCAACCACCTATCTCATTAAATTACGTCTTCATATTAACTATTGTCTAAGCGAAATTAGAAAACTATTTCCCATGCAATTCGATATTTTCATGCCTCTTATTCTTATCATTCTTTTTTTCTAAATCGTATTAATTTTAATACGAACGTGACATTTATAAAATGCTTCTCTCAAACTTCGTTAATGTTAGTTAATGCTTTTTAGTCCGGTCACGTTGCGTTTACACTTATGTGTACTGTGTAAACTGGTCAATTAGCAAATACGCACGCAAGTGTTCGTAAAATGCGAGTGGGCATAGAAATCAAATAACTTCTTCCTCAATGAAGAAGTTTCCATTTTTTTTTTATGGATAAATTATAAAAATTATAAAAGAATAAAACAAACACGTGAAAGAATTGATAAAATATCTCAAGAAATAAGAAAGTTATGGGACTTTAAAGTTGCGCTTGCAAGAATAATTTTGTTACACGCGGCGCTCCATCGTGTGACGTCATTTGACCTAAACGACGCCGCACGTATTCGCAGAGTACGTACGAATGTATTTGTTCAGAGACCGTTCTTCGTTTTGCAGACCATAAAATTCCTGCATACAATTTTTAGAATGTTTGCAAATTTACAAGGCGGTATGGTGTTTATTTGGTAGTAGACCCTTAGATGCATCGGTACAATGTTTAAATTAGTTTATAGAGGTAACGGTTGAAGAAGGATCCTTTACGATTCCAATTTAGTTTCAAGTTTATTATGGGGTGTTTTTTTATGAGCCTAACGGTTAAAAGTACCGTTTGTTGAAATTTAACAGTATTGTTGTGCAGTTGTTTACGCCGTTCAATTCAAATTTGGTTATTACGCGATGGCAGAAATTAAAAAAAATGCCTACAAATATTGTATTGTACCAATGTGTAAAAGCACAACAGTTAAAAATCCCAATAAAGTTTTTTTTCGTGTACCAAATAATATAACAACAAGAAAAAAGTGGTGCAAAGTAATGAAGCGTGATCTAATTAGCCCTAAAAGCACTAAATATGTGTGTGAAGATCATTTTGATGTAAGTAACTATTAGTAATAGCTGCCTATTAAGTACTGTAAAAATCGAATTTACAGGTTGAAAATGACACAGAAAATTTAGTCAAACATCGACTGGTTGGGGGAACATTAAAGTTAAAACCCAACATATGTCCTCATAAATTTGACTGTCAAATAGCGGCGAAACCTCAAAAAGAACGAGGAGCATATAAAAAAAGACGTCGAATTGAATTTTATGAAAGTCTATTAACAAAGGAAGTACCGTCGACTTTAAGTCAATCACCTTCGTTTCAACCTTTTGAAATGATTGAGTGTGATGAAATGGAGTTAAATGAAACAGAGGATCCGCTACCAGAGAACATTGCTGTTACAGAATCAGATAATCATCCAAATAAAAAGAGAAACAAAGGAGTTCAAGTAAATATCAAAACTTCACAAAAAAATCAAGCAGTACAAACCATCATAAGAAGGAACAGTGTGAAAGATACGGGAAATAAGTGCTCCCAAATCGTTTATGAATTTCCTCAGCGCTCTCCATCGAGAATATCGATATCTTCTCTAAGCAGTTCTTCTTCAAAAGCATCAATATTTTCACCAAACAGTACAAGTTCAACTAATTCCTTCTCAAACACAATGAAGCCTCAATATCGCAATGATACCATAAACAAAATAACTAAAAACGTTATTTTTTATATGGGATTGCCAGAAGAAATTTTTTTTCTTACGAAACTACTATCTGAAAGTATTGCTAGTCCTGTAAGAGATATTCTAATATCATTGAAGAAAATTCGTTTAGACGATTCCTATGTGCGTCTGGCTATAGATTTTGATATATGTAAAAGCTCAGTTAGTAGAATATTCAATAAAACTGTTCCCTTAATAGGTCACCGAATGAAACAGTTAATATATTTTCCACGTATCGAAGAAATTCGTGAAAAGTTACCGATATCTTTTAGAAAGAGATATTCAACTACAGTGAGTATTTTGGACTGTTTTGAAATAAGAATTGAAAAACCTTCAAATGCAATGCAACAGACTTTGACGTGGTCCGAGTATAAACATTGTAATACAATTAAATATTTGATTTCCATTACACCTGATGGACTGATTAACTTCATTTCTGAAGGTTATGGGGGCAGAGCTAGCGACACAATAATATTTGAAGATTGTGGCTTTTTACAATATTTATCACCGGGATGTTCTGTAATGGCTGATAGAGGATTTAAAAACGTATCCCACTTGTTACAAGGTAAAGGATGTCACCTAATAAGGCCTCCTAGCGTAACCGAAGGCAAAGCTAGTTCGAAACTGGAAGTCATGGAAACAAAACGAATAGCAGCGCTCCGTATAAATGTTGAAAGAACAATCGGCAGATTAAGAAATTTTTCTATGGCAGCACCTCACGCTTGCATTGATACTAAAGCAATTTATTTGTTAGATTCCATTGTTGTTATTGCTTGTGCTATGGTGAATGTTCAACAGAAATTAATAAACGTGTAATCAAAGCTTATTGAGTTTTATTTAATCATTGCATTAAAAATATGCTTCCAGAATAATGTACATTCATTAATTATTTTTTTACAATAATCTGAATTATAAAAAATTTCATAAACATCAACTTGTTGAGATGTCTCAAAATCTGCATGAGCAATGCAAAAAAAGGCTTTTGATTTATTCGCGAAGTGCATTTGTAGTTGTACTTGAGCTTCACATTTTGCTGACAATTTTGCATTGTTAATGTATTTTTTCATGGTTTCAGTTTTCAGTGGACATTTAATTTCAATAGTATGTTCTTCTGTTATGCCATCAGGCGAGGCCCCTAACATAGGATGTTCCTTTGTCAAAAAAAGACCGCACTTCCTGATCTTGACTTTTTTAATAATTTCTATTTGTGCTCTGACTTGGTCTTCAAGAAGTTTACCTAAAACAATTATAAAAGAGGTACTTAAATACGCGAATATTTATACGTTAATATCACATTTATAGTTTTTATCAGTTTTATACCTCTTTGTATAGCAAACGGTTCTTTAAATTGATAAGCTCCTAAAATTTTTTCTACAAGTATACCATCCGCAGTATTACATTTTGATGCTTCATAAGCTATAGAAGCCGTGATCCTGCCGTATCGGAGTTCAAACCACAGAGAAGCGGCAGATTGATCTTTTGTCGCTTTTTCTATCGAAACACATTGTTCTTCAGTAATATTGTCCATGCAAAATTTTATAAAGTTGTTCACACTAAATTCGTCTTTTTCACTTTTGTATTTACAGATCAGATAGTGAAGTGAAACTTTCAACTCAATGTTGATATCCATAAAGTAGGTCATTATTTGCACGTTGTTAGTTTTACGATTTTTACATTCTGTTACGAATTTATTAAAAAAGGTTGTATCTTCAGTAATATTTAAATCAGAAAACTTTTTGTTTTTAAAATCCTTAGCTTTTATAAATTTAATATGACTTCCAACTTTAGAAAGTGCTGGTTTTGTCCAGTAACATTTTATTGACGTAGTGGCAGGTTCCTCAGTTCTTTTAAAGAGCCATATCAAAAATGCGACAGTGTGTTTGCACCCTCCTTGATTAGCAGGACAATCATGACAGACTACACTTTCCACCATTCCTTCGTTTTCATCACAAACCAACGTGCAGTGATAAGGCTTACTTCTTACTTTATGTTCAGGTGAAATTCTGCATTTCACTGTACATTTAAAGCCCTTACGTTTCACTTGAACATATCCAATAGCTTCATCTCGGTAAGATGCTCGACCGGCCCTGAAAAAATATCGATACATTTGATATCGTTTCAATGCAATACTCGTATGTGTTGTAAAAATGTCGATTCCAACAACCAGTACTAAACTACAATCTGTTTCTTATTTAGAAATCATAGTTGTAAGTTAGACCATGTGACTGAAGGAATAAACTTAAATGTATGTACTTACTTAAAAAGTTTAACTCCTTTTATTTCGGCACTAACATAAGACGGATTTGAAGAAAAAAAGTCCATCACTGTGTATATATCAATATGAGGCAAATTATCACTTTGTCCTTTGACGAAGCCATCTTCCATTATAGTGAAATAAAAACTACACACTCATAAATAAAAAAGAAACAAACGACGGTACGTAAATAAAGACGAACGAAGCAAGAGCCCTTCGCGACTCTGAAACTAATACTTGAATGATTCGTGGTGCGGTGATATCGAATAGGTCAAATGACGTCACAGGCGAATCGGAAACTTCAGACGTTCCGTACTAAAATACGTAAACTTCAATAATCTATTTCTAAGTCATTTATTGACGGATTTCAAAAATTCTTTCGGTGATTGATTAGTTTTGATCTATATTTTAATACAATTACGTTGAATATATTATTAACAACATCATGAAACTTCTCCATTCAGCATAGAATAATCTAAAATTATTTTAAGAATGGCTGTTTATTAATAAAGACATTTCTATTTTTGTTTCAAAGTGGAAAATTTTCAAAAGTTACCAACATTAAATAATTTTTGTATTATTCATAGCGACTTATAGTTTGAACACTTTCTATAATTCAAAAATTGTATATAGGGATTATTGATTTCAAGGAGCATACTTAAAATGGATATCAAAGTTTTTATCCACGGCGATTAAATTACAACACTGATGGGTTACATCTAAGTTAACGATAAATCGTTGACGAAATGTCGCGAATAATAATTGTGATATTCATTTCAAGTAGGCACGCTTCTTGAGATCAATAATCCCTATACAAAATACTACAAATGGCGCAGTAAACGCCATCTGTGGCACGATGCTACATTTTAGGATTACGTATGCTCCAACAAGGTCCACTTGTGTGGATATCTACTTGCTGAAAACGAATCCCGGCGTAGCCAACCTCAACGTGATAGGCACGTTAGCTTAATCGAATAAAATAATTCGAAGTGGTCTGTATTCTGTCGAAACTGCCAGACGCGGATCGCGATTTCGATCTTTTTGGATCTCATCAGCGCGTCGCAGGCAGCTCCGACAGAACACAGACCAACTTTTACCTGCTGTCTTAACAGTGCGTTTTAGAAAATACTACAAATGGCGCAGTAAACGCCATCTGTGGCACGATGCTACATTTTAGGATTACGTATGCTCCAACAAGGTCCACTTGTGTGGATATCTGAAAACAAATCTCGGCGTAGCCAACCTCAACGTGATAGGCACGTTAGGTTAATCGAATAAAATAGAAGAATGCAGACCACTTCGAATTATTTTATTCGATTAAGCTAACGTGCCTATCACGTGGAGGTTGGCTACGCCGGGATTCGTTATCAGTAAGTAGATATCCACACAAGTGGACCTTGTTGGAGTATACGTAATCCTAAAATGTAGCATCGTGCTACAGATTGCGTTTACCGCGCCATTTGTAGTATTTTCTAAAACGCACTGTTAAGACAGCAGGTAAAAGTTGGTCTGTGTTCTGTAGGAGCTGCCTGCGACGCGCTGATGAGATCCAAAAAGATCGAAATCGCGATCCGTGTCTGGCAGTTTCGACAGAATACAGACCACTTCGAATTATTTTATTCGATTAAGCTAACGTGCCTATCACGTTGAGGTTGGCTACGCCGGGATTCGTTTTCAGCAAGTAGATATCCACACAAGTGGACCTTGTTGGAGCATACGTAATCCTAAAATGTAGCATCGTGCTACAGATGGCGTTTACTGCGCCATTTGTAGTATTTTCTAAAACGCACTGTTAAGACAGCAGGTAAAAGTTGGTCTGTGTTCTGTAGGAGCTGCCTGCGACGCGCTGATGAGATCCAAAAAGATCGAAATCGCGATCCGTGTCTGGCAGTTTCGACAGAATACAGACCACTTCGAATTATTTTAATCCTTATACACATTAAAAGATCATTATTTATGAGCGACATCAACAATGTAAAGAGAAACGTTTTTTTCCATTTTTTTTAATGTAATTTGACATAAACCTGAAACTACAATCAGGAACTGTGACGCAGTGTGAGTATTGAACCTATACTGTGAAATATATATAATTAACCCGTTAAGGGTATTTTAGTAATATTGGTATACAAGGGAAGAAAAAGTAGGGAAAGATTAAATTTAAAGATAGACGACTAAAAATTAAAAGAAATTGCTAATTTACGATATTCATAGGGAGACAGATAATTCAGGGTCAACGGAGCAGCAGAGATATAAAAGAGTGGACAGCGTAGGGTCGAGTCGCCTTTAATAAAAAAAGTCGCTTTTATGCTCGCGAATGGTTAATTCAGAAATTCGAAAAATATTGTCGAAGGTGTATGTCTGGAGTATGGCACTGTACGAGTGCGAAACGTGGACGGTGGGCACGGCGAAAAAAGAAAAGATTAGAAGCGTTTGAAATGTGGTGTTACGGGTGAATGATGAGGATACTAAGAATAGAGAACGTTAGAAATGAGAGATACTAGAAAGAGTTGAACAGACGGCGCTATGGAAGTCAATAAGCCATCAATTCATCAAAATATCATCCACAACGAAAATTCTATCATAACAAAAACCCTAGAAGAATCACAGGTAAACCCAAAAACAAAATCCTCTTCCCTTCTGCCAAACCATTGGCAATCACTCTCGACCTTCTTGACGAATTCATCGATTACCTAGAAAATCTACCCATCCTCCTCCAATAACATACACACACCCATACACATACCATCCAGTCGTAAGGATGGCTGGGTGTCTATTGAAGATTACCTACCCCTCTTCTACGAAACAAGTCAAGAAACATTTGACGAAATAAGTTGGAAGGACATCCTCTCAGGCATGAAGGGTTACTTAGAGACATGGAAAGCATAGGAAAGAGTGGAGGTGCGTGATATCCAACCAGTTTTGCAACTTAAGACCGTATGATGATGCACTAACTAATCAAATAAACTAATTTAAATCATAATCCAATGAAAGCGATGATGAAAGACAATGTTGAACTTGTTCACAGCTACTACCGGAAGGTTCATCACTTTCTATAACATAAACGGCCCCCAGCTCCCATTGAATACAACAATGTGTATCACAAAATTAATGTTTGATGAAACAATTGCATGGTTACTAGATTTGGTAAAGGTCTAGAAGATGGCCCCCACCCCCGAAGGGGAGGGATCGAAAGAGGAGGTCTCCCCTACCACTGTACCGCCCCCCATGGCGGTTAGATGGGGGTGGGGGTAGGGGGATCGAATGAGGGTAGGGGGGATCGAAAGAGGGTGGTCAAATGAGTAAAACCCCATAAAATGTCATCGAGACATTTACCCTAGATTTTATATTCTTGAACAACATGACAACGCTGCACAATACTTTCCTTATTTTCCGTCAACAGTTGTAAAAGCTACGACATCCTTTATCCTATTTACATGGCCAAGATTAATTATATCTTAGTAAAAAAAAAACGGCATTATCGAGAGGAAGCGTTTATAAAAAGATAGCCAGCTGCGATTTTAATTCGTGAATGGATGGCACACACAAATAACGCACTCGTTATTATCAAACGATGATAAACTTTAGACCCTAGACCGACTGTGTCGACGCCAAATCGATCGTTTATGCAGGTTATTATGCGGTTATTTTTACGCCATTTCGAAACGTTAAAGGAAGTACTCGTCTGAGGCTATTTTTAAACAAACGAACGGTCGCAAATATTACACTGTTTTCCGAGGACGCGACTTACTACGTACGTACGAAATGCATATGCATAAGTTCAAGAATTTTAGATGTACGCATTTTATATTTTTATTTTGCAAAGAATGGCAGAAAAACATGTTTGACCTGTTGTTTGTTCATAATCAATGAATAAATTGCTGTGGACATAATACATTCAACATTCAAACGTATTGTTTAATCGTAAGTGCGTTGCGGACTCGAACCTTGAAGGTTCCATATTATGGAATACCCTAAACTAGCGACCCGAACCAGCTTCGCACGGGTTTTTTTCGTTTAGATTATTCTCGAGGAGGGGAAATCTTCAAAAGACACCCCCTGAACATACTAAATATACTACAGAATGTCTTTATATACAACTAGGGTTTATACAAAAACCGACATTTTAGAAAACCGGTTTTCGAATAGTAATTTTTCCAGAAAACCGGTTTTAACCGGTTTCGAATTTAAAAAAAAAAATTTTTGCTCGAATATTCTGTAATTCGAACAAAAACTTTTAACAGAAAATTTTCGAATTTCATAATTTTCTCAAAAAAAAAACGGTTTTTAAAAACCGACAAACCCTATATACACAATTCAAATTACATGCTGTAAAGAGCCATATTGATCTATATTAAATGCGCAATGTATTTAAGGTACTTAATTGGATAAGAATTAATGCTTCTGCTTAAAATCGCTTCGTAAATAAGCCATTATTTCTCATAAAAAGTAAAGGATAAAAAATGGTTATCCCTAAGAGATATATACCATCACGGACTTTTTTGTAGATCTTTTTAAGATGTACAATATTGTAGTACATTATTTTGATCTATCTCGTAGGGTTCAGGCAGCGTTTGCAAAGAAAGCTCAAAAAATGTGTTTATTTACGACATTACATTAGAAAGTTCTAAAATTATCAGTGTTTCTCTACTATATTATGCATGTATTATACATATAAACCTTCCTCTTGAACCATTCTATCTATTAAAAAAAACCGCATCAAAATCCGTTGCGTAGTTTTAAAAATTTAAGCATACATAGGGACAGATAACGGGAAACGACTTAGTTTTATACTATGTAGTGAAGATGCTTGATTACTTTACTCAACCCAAAGGATGTGGGATGTTCCCATGATAGGAAAGAGTGGAGGTGCGTGTCCAATCAGTCTTAGGACTAGCGAGCCTATAATAATAATGATCAACTCAAATTTTCCTCAATTTAAAGGTTATATCTATTAGCGTTTGAACGGTACAATCTCATCAAATACATTAAATTAATTTTATTAATTATCTATACAAAAGGCACTGTTTTTGATGGACTTGCTATCGTTTGATGTAAAATTTATGATTAGAAACCAATCAGTTACATAACTTTAAAATCGCCAATCTATTCTATCACTATTTGTATTCTTATCCTTTAAATGCCTTGTTTTCCAAGAACTTTGTGATGATCAATAGCATCTTCGTATTTCTTCCCCCTATTACTAATTTCAGTAGGACTATTCAAGCAATTTAAAAGGTGTGAAAATTTCTATTTATTATATAATCACACGGATGTTTCGCTTTACGGTGTTAAAGCTTCTTCAAGGTAGATTATACAAGTCAAATACATACTCCAAGATGATTTCTATGTATTTGGTACCAATAATTTCTTGTCGACTGATCTGTTTTATCTTCCGGATCGTTTGATTACGTGATTATTCTGTTCGCTGCACCTCGTTCGTCAGGTTGTTAA